CCAAAGCAGCGGCCAAAAATGTCAGTCGTGCTTTGTGCGAAGAGAGAAACTGATTAATCGAGAAGGCGAATTAATCATAATGGCATAATGCGATATTGCGGCGGCAACGCGGTGTCATTGCTGTGGCAGTATTGTGAAAAAAAAAACGCGTATAATAGAAATAATATTGCATTCTGACAGACTAGTGGCCGCAGCCCCGTTGCCAACGATCGGCCTGAAAATCGTGGGTGGTGATGGTGACGTAGTGATGGTAGTGTCGGTGGTTGTACGTGATGATACTCTCGATGGCTCAGACCTTTCGATAACTAGCTTTATGGTTTCGGAGTTTTGGAGGAGATTCTGTGCGTCTACATGCCTCACATCACGCGCGTCGTAATCGTCAATTTTCTTGATCATGTCACCCTTCTGGAGCGCCTCGTTCTCCGACTGCAAGCAGATCATCGCCCTGACGTTGTTAGCAATAATTATTGTCACTGTGCTAACTTTTCAATTATTATATTCAAGAAGTAATTAAAAGTAATATCAAACATCTAAAATATGTGACAAAAAGTAAAAATCTGCTTCAATTCTGTTGTTTTGTTTGATTCTATTTGATCCAAAATGTAATTTATTTTTTACTAATGTTTTATTTAAAAACTTTTTCTTAGATAAAATCCTTTTTTTTGTGAAAATTTATTTTTTATTTTTTAGAGCTTTTTAATCGTATTAATCTAAATGATTATAAACATATTACAGTAACATATTACAGTAACATATTACAGTAAATTTAAATAAATCAGTAAGATTAACAGTTCACTTATTTCTTTTGAAATTATAAGATATTGTTTAAACAGGTTTTAAAAAGTAATAATCAAAGTAAAAGAATAATATTATCTTGTTATTTATCATTATATAATTTGATGACAGATACGTTTTCAAAAATTCAAAAAAATTAATGTATGAAAAGACACTCATAAAAGAAAGATTGCTGAAATGTTATATAGAATGAGATAAATTACGAAATATTATGGGGCAAAACACAAAATTTGATAATAAATAATATTCGAATTATCTATCAGTTGATAAAAACAGAAACAAGTAAAGCAAAAAGTAAGAATATTTTTTTAACAATACGAGTTCAATCCTCAATTTTAGGCGCTTAATTTTAGGCAACAAAAAGACGTTTTTGTCATTTCATTGGAGTGTTTCGGCGTAAGCTCCGGGATGTAATGCGCCGTATTGTGTATCAATGTTAACGAGCACTAGATCGAATCGTTGATTTGAAAATTCCTTGGCAGCCTTCTCCATTTCAAATGTTCACAGGGATTACGTTACGTCTACCTCTATTGTTCCGTCGCGTCGTTCGCCAGTGCGAAATCGTATCAAAGCCAAGTAAGCGGACACCGTAACGAAGTCTCCATAATGAGAGAAATCTCTCATTCCTCCCGGACAAAAATCATTGTCCGAATATAACAAAATTCGTTATCAAATGCCGTAAAGAAAGAGATTTGCATACTTTTTTTACGAAACGCTTATTCGAAGACTTGACTTACTAGCTTTTACACTTAGGAGCATAAACCTGCTTTAGGACTTCACTAAAGTACTATGACAAGTAAATTATAAACATGATATGAAAATTATAATTGTTTCTACATAATTTCTTATATATATATATATATATAATTTTATTTATTTATAGTTTCTTTAATTGATAGTCAATTAATTGATTAATTTGCCTCAAAATTCAATTATTTATATTTATTCTATTTAAAACATTAAAAAATTCATTATTTTTTATTTTTTATATATATTTATCTTTTTCTTTTTTATCATATTTTTGTGTTAGTTTTGAGTGATTATTGTTTATGTCATCTTTTCTTTAAAGATTATAAAACTTCAGAACAAATTTAGGTTTAACATCGAAGCAATTAATTTAAAACCTTGTATGAGAATTGTAACACGATTTAAATAAAAAATTTAATTAAAGATGTGTGAGGAGATCGGGCGGAAATTAAGATAAGAAGAAGAAGCAGACTCACGCGGGTGACAACAATCGGCGTGCCCAAATCTGCGCCTCCGGCGATTCTTATGCCCCATGGCCTACCGGTGCTGGATCTCTTAAGTTTCACAATCAATGTGTGCCTTCTCGTCATACTCTAGACTCGGTTCAGTCAACACCACCACCAACAATAACACAACAAATAGCCACGACACAAGCACTTAATCAATCGCGAGATGCACTATGTAGGCAAAACGACGAGAGGCAAAAAGAGATAAAAAGGGGAGTAAGAAGAAAAAAGAGTCTCTCAGAAGAAGAAAAGACCTGCCGCGAACAGTTGCGAGCGATGAATCTCCCGGATCGTGATCGCTCTCTGCTTCGCTACTGAGATAGCAGCTGCAGCTGTAGCACTTGCCGACTATATGCCGACTTTGACAGAGCCCTGAGCGGAAAGCGAGAAAGATAGAGAGAAGGAGGGAAAGAGAGAACTAGTTGCTCAATTCTAACGGAGAGACCACCGCCTCTAGTCTCTCTGTTTCTTTCTTCACTATTCTGGCCCCATTTCGAGTTGGCGTATTGTTCTGATGGTCCGACCCGCACTCGTTTCTTTGGTATTTACTATGTATATGCGTGTGTATGTGCATAAATATTTTACAGTCTCGCCTTGAAAGAGAAAATCAAACTATTAGCGAAGAATGAATATGAACTACCGCGAGAAATCCTTGAAGAAGATATACTATACAGATGAGAAAATTCTATAAAAAAAAATTTATCTCTTGTTTGAATTTTAAACAAATTAATTGATTAAAGAAAAACAATCTTAAATAACTACACAATTATACTTCAGCAATATCAGAGTGCGCGATTGGAAAAGAATATTTTTAATAACCATTACTTCTTAATATCGCTTTTTATAATAGTTAAAACAATAATGATTTCTTCTAATAGCTCTTTTAAATCACTTAAAACAATTACTTTCGATTAATTCAACATGGCAACTCAATCTAAAAATTAAATCAACAGATGGCAAAATAAATTAAAATTTGAATCGAAGATCCCTACATGAGTCTAAAATGTAATACCATCGAAATCTAATAATTCTGGACATCATCTCTCCAAAAAATTTCTTCAGTATTAAGAAGATATAGGATTAAATGTAGTTTTAATTCTGTAACATTATGCGAAACTATTTAGCAATAATTTACAGAAATTATTAGTGGCATACAATGTAAGATGCCATAATATACAGTATTAAGATTTTATATGAATTTTATGTATGATAGATGATAAACATGAATATTGAGGAAGGATTGAAATGATAGGATAACGATATTGAAATAATTTCTATGAATAATTTTCATGCATATAACGCAACTTTATTGACTCAGTTCGAAATGTGTTCGACATATTTCATAAGAACTATTGTAAGTGGGACAATCTTATTATATACAGCTTAGTATTCATGATGAAAGCTAATAAATGAAATGCATTTTGTCGCGCTACATATCTACACGACAATTTCTTTATTCGCGAATTCGACGTCGAATTTCAGAAAAAATTCATTTGTTAATTTATTTCACACAAGAAGTTAATTGTTTGTAATTAACAGAAAATTATTCGGATATTTTATTCATATTTTCAAAGTTCAAATTATCGTTTTATTTCTATTATCTAATATTTTTTGCTATCATCATTTTAAGCCGTTTATTTAATCGATAAATTATATTTGTTTCAATGTAACTTCAGTTAATGATTTGTCACATTTTCCGCAAGATAAAGAATGACTCTATTTTTTTCCTAAGGCGAAAATGTGAAAAGTAAAAATTTTCTTTACAAGTAATGGAGAAATTTTTCACTTTTCACATTTTCACTCTAAAAAGGGATTACACGATTGCTCTCTAGATTTCTTTAAAAAACTCTACCATCAGAAATCGATAATTTCGGTAGTCAGATGATTGGAATATAAATTGAAATATAAATTGGAATATAATTAGGAAAAAAATAGAAAGGATTTCTTCTGAGTTGCATATCCTTCGTACTTACATAGGTTTCATAAAAATGGCCTATGGAGAATTTGAGAGCCATCTTCGAAAATTTGATTCTAGTCGCGTTTTCTCCCCGTCTAGATAAAACACACTCTTCTTCCGCCGTGCGAATACGTTCACGGACGACGAGAAACTTCTCCCCTATGCGGGCCGTTTCGATGCAATTAGTTTGGCTGCACTGTAATTAACGGAGACTAGAGAACCAGAGACGAGAGAGAAAGAAAGAGAGTGAAATAATGAAACAGAGGAAGAAAGAACGCGTGTTTGTACGACTTAAATTAGCAACCTATAGCGCGAAAGGTTAGTCAATCGCTCTAGTGACTCACTTTACCTTAATTTATAGAATCATTAACGCATATCGCCAATATGCGATATGTCCAACATTGGCAGTCGACGATAATGAATCATCATTTAATTATGTATTGCGAATAAACTTAAAAAAAAAGAGAGAAAAAAGATTTGAGTGTCAGAATCAGTTTAGTACATCTGCGATTTCATGGAAATCATATCAGCATTTTTTGTTATATAAAATATAATTCTAATAAATCTAATAATTCTCCTCTTGCCTCTTCTAAATATAATAAAGATTTAAAATCTTACAAAAATAACAAATCATATTCTACAAAAAATATAAAAATTATAAGAAATATGTATATCAATAACATGTATAAATGAATGAATAATTGCATTAATTGCATTGAATAATTCATTAATCATTGAAATGCAGCAATTATAATACGATGTTACAGTTATCTTTTTAATTGCCAATCATCAATTTAAATTTACGAATTTATATATTACGCATTGTCGTACATAATCGTAGATAGAGACGTTTGTTGAGTTTTTAAAAGTATTTAAAAATTTAGCTAGATTACAATCTGAAAATGATTTTATGAAAATAAAATTAAGATGTTCAAACTGTTATTTATAAATGTCAAAATGTTTTTGCAGCATTACTTATCAATTATCATGCTTCCTATGTAAATACGTTAATGATTTAACAAAATTTATCTTATATAAAGGGAGTTTATATAAAGAGAGTCCTTCGGAAGAGTTCAGTATTAGTGCGCTCCTCACCCTGATGAAGTGAACGGCAAAGTTCACGAAACATTAGCATTAGCAATGGATTACGAGACGGCGACCCTTAACCCTTTGGTATTTCTAAAGAAAATATCCGTAAAAGCCTCAAAAATAATAAAATTATTTTTAGATTTGTATCTAAGTTTTTAGATACTTCAATAGAATCATTCTTTTCATACAGTCATCAAATCGGAACTACGACTTATTTCAGATATTCCTCAGTGATCGCTCGGCTGATGACCATACGTCGTATTTCACTGGTGCCCGCGCCGATCTCATAAAGCTTCGCGTCTCGCAGCAGTCTCCCCGTCACATAATCATTGATATAACCATTGCCACCTGTAAAAAAATTTTTTAAAAGCGCAAATGTCATTCTCATTAAACATTGTTAAACATCTATTTTCTTTACTAAATTCTTATATCCTCTATGTTTTCTTTCTGATATAATTATGATTGTCTGAAATAATTTATTACTGTTAATTTTTTTTTAAATAAATTTACCGAGTATCTGTATAGCATCCGATGCCGCTTTCATTGCATTCTCGGCGGAAAAGAGCAACACCGCGGCGCAATTTTTGCGATTTACATGACCGGCGTCGCAGGCTCTAGCGACAGAGTACAAGTAGCTTCTGCTCGCACTCAGAGCTGTGTACATGTCCGCTATCTTCGCCTAAAACGATTATATGATTAGACAATATCAATGGAAGATCGCAAAAAATTTTTAAGAGGACAAGGTAATTCTTGCTTTACCTGTATCATTTGAAATTTTGCAAGATACTGGCTAAATTGCTGTCTCGTATGAGCGTATTCAAAGGCAACATCGCAACAAGCTTGCAGTAGTCTAGAATTTACGTTTCAAATCGCACACAGTCAAATATAAACGCTCGTTTGTGAATAAAACTTAAATAATTTCTTATTAATAATCTGATAAAAATAGATATTTAATAAAGTGTCTAAATCTGTCATTCTATAATATACACCGAAATATGAAAATTTGTATTTAACGCTATGTATTACAAGCAAACTTTCAAAAAGTATAATTTTTATTTCATTGATCACAAAAAGTACATCCAATAGTTTTTATGAAGCTCCTTTTAACGCGCAAAATCCAAATACAAAAATACTTAAAGTTAATAATAAATCAAGCTAAATTTTGTTATACATTCGTTATTTTTCTAAGAACTTACCCCAAAGGTCCGCCAGATAATATTAATCGTTCCAGATCCAGTCCACTAAAGAGCACATAAATACCTTTATTAATTTCTCCTAAAATATTTGCAGCTGTAACAGAAATTCACAATTTTACAGAAATTTTAAATAACTTTTTGGAAGACAAAAGGATAACGATCGATTTTAATGAGTCGATAAACTTAATAAAATGTTAAAAACTACAGTTCTTACTCTATTCTATTTGAACAAATTAATTTTATTGTAATAAATCTCTACATCTTTTTCGTATTTCTCATTCGAGCATCAAACTTACCTGGCACTTTGCAATCCTCGAAAATCAGTTCGCCTGTGTTGGAGCCGCGCATGCCAAGTTTGTCCAGCTTCTTCCCCGTGCTGAAACCCTCTGTGTCACGCTCGACGATGAAAGTAGTGATGCCATGCTGCGGCTTGTCCGCATTCGGATCCGTTCTCGCATAGACGATTAGTGTATCCGCGTCCGGAGCATTGGTAATCCAGAACTTGTTGCCATTGAGGACATAGTAGTCCCCCTTTCTCTCGGCTCGCAATTTCATGGAGACAACGTCAGACCCGGCACCCGGCTCCGACATTGCTAATGCCCCGATGTGTTCACCACTGCACAGCTAAAATTTCTCATATAACAAGAATATTTTATTTATATTATTAATAATAATATAAATAATCGTACGAGCGACATGAGTTAATCCTATTGATGAAGATATCAAAGGCGCTTCTTAAATTTCGTGAAAAAGCTAATTATAATTTCAAATTTGTATAATCCATTTGGAAATATCCAATTTATTTTTTTACAACTGTAATTACAATTTATTCACCAAGATGTATTTATTCACTAAAATATTATAAATATATTTTTTTCATATAAAACTTTTTAAGAACATTAAGCGCATATATCGAAACGAATTAAAAAAACCTTTATGATTTATATGTACAATTGTAGATATACTATTTGCTTTAATAATTGTAAATATACTATTTACTTTAACAACTTTCGAAATTACAATTTATTCGAAACTAATTTGTATGTATTATGTATACATTTTTTTTTTAGAAAGGAGAAAAGAAGGAAAAGATATAGAGACTATTGTAAAGATAAAGATAATATAAAGGAATGAGTATTTTGTAAAACAACAAGGCTGGAATATAAGATAAGATTGTAATGTAGTATAATAGTTAGTTATAGTCAATTATAGGTAATTTATTATCTATTTATAAGTTAAGGAAATGCACTGTAATAAGATTAATAGAAAATAAAAAGGATAGGATGTAGATAGAACGTGCAGTTAAAGAATATAAGGAAGATAGAGAGGTAAGTATAGATAAAGAAATGCTATGTAGAGATAAAGGGAAATAAGAAATGGGATATGGATTTTTTTATGAATTTTTTCATTAATAATAGACTGTGATAGAGCTGTGATATAGAGACTGTATAGGTAAGAGAATGTATAGTAATAGTTTAGGTTTGTAATTGTAAGATAAAGGCGGGAGAGGAGTATAAATATGAATGAATTAAATATTTCTGTAAACTAAGTCCCCTTCTTGGCTTGTATATGCCAAACTGTAAATAAATTCTATTCTATTCTATATATATTTTTTTCTGATATAAGATTCTTTAAAAATATGTACACACATTGTTTGGCATGAGTTACCTTAGGTAAATATTTTTGCTTTTGTTCTTCCGTGCCATTTCGATGAATTTGATTAACACAGAGGTTCGAATGTGTGCCGTAACTGAGTCCGATAGCGGCAGATGCTCTGCTAATTTCTTCCATGATAATTACATGATCGAGATATGTGCAACCTGCGCCTCCATATTCTGGCTTCACAGTCGGCCCTAAGAGGCCCAATTTACCCAATTTTTTCCAAAACGTCTGTGCGTCACATTATTATTTTTTTAAATTGAATCGTTGATTAGGATATTACGGAAAATAGAATTTAATTAATTCATTATGATTTGCTATTTATTTATATTTCTTTCCCTTAAAATCGGTGCATAAAAGGAGCACTTACCTTCAATTCATCGAAATTATTTTTTTGGTCGATTTCAGCAGCTTTAGGTGCCAACTCCTTTTGTACAAAATTGAAAACGAGCGAACGAAGCTAAAAAAGAATGGTGATTGTTACAAATATGGCTACAGATATAATAATAGAACACTCTGTAAAATTTTATTGAATTCCTAATATTTTGAAAATAAATATTAAATATCGATCTTTAACTTAAAAAAATGAATAAGTTAAAATTGATAATATAGCTTTTTTATCCTATGCGTGTTAAAATTTAATGTTTTTACAACGTAATTAGTTGAAGTTAAAAGTTAATTTATTTAAAATTAACAAAAATAAGTAAAAAGTTATTAATTTTTTAATTGTATTACTTAACTTTTAACTAATTAATTAGTTATATATTAATCTTACAATACCCGAAAAAAAATATTATTATGGACATATTTTATATATAATTACATATAATACATACATATAATACATAGAATTTTATATAATTTT